CCCTTCAAATATTTCTTTTCTCTTTCAGGAAGAGAAATGGGCAGCGCTATGCTTAAGCTATTTGTTTTGGAATAAATACATTGCATTTTCACTGGACAGTTAAAGTATAATTTTAAGTGGAAGTAGATTTACTAGGTCAGTGGCTATAGACTGATTCCATATATCCAGGGACTCTGTTTCTTTTTAGAGTGAGAGGGTGAAGAGGTGAGCCTAGGACCGAGCTTCACTAACCCGGCCTCCTCTGTTGTTCTTCCCCTAAAGGCAAAATGACACAGAATGTTTTTGCACCTGGGATTAATTTTTAGTTGAAATCCAGTTCTGAAACAAACAGGAGGGGCAGTTTGCTTTCACCCTGGAAAATTCGGTGAAGGTTAAGTTCTCAGTGATTCAAGCCAAGCCATATTATACATGGTGATTCAATTGACAGAAATGGTCTCCATTAAAATTTTTTTCTGTGGGCTGCTAATTGCTATTTTCAGCCTACAATTTCTTGCACATGATTTGTTTGAAGCCATGATTGTGGCTTCTGCTAAATCCTTTGAAATTCAGCCTTTTAATCCTATGCTTTACAAATTGTTTTAAAAGTACTGATCTAATTAAGCAAATTGATGCAAATATCACTTGCCAAGACCAAATTCTTCTTGTTTAATAGACACTCTTTGTTCACATCATAACTTTCATTAAAATCATGGGTTCTGACGTGCGCAGTCAAACGCACCTCAATCATCTTCAGCATCGATGTCCGTGAAATTGACGCCTGTCTAGGTTTCACGGCAAAGCAACGTTTCAGCTTAAAAATGTTACTAACAATGTGGTTTTTCTTCTTTTTTTGCTTGTTGAGTGACTGGAGTGCTTTTGTCTGTATGACCAAAGACAGTCTGATGACTTATGTTAATGGTTAGAATAATACATTCAGAAATTATTGCAACTGTATCCTTTATATCCATCCTGTTTATTTTCGTTTTAGATGCTGTGTTTTCACCTCAAGTTCTGTGAGCCTTTTTGTATCTTTTCTTCTCTCACTAAATTAAGTTCACGTTTCCTTCTATTCTTAAGCATAATAAACACATTTCTAAGTCACTTTAACATCCTAGATGTGAAATGATGCAGATAATTTTCCTGTTTCCTTTATACCTGGTGAATTTTGGTTGGATGTTGGCCATTTTTGGCCATTGTGAATGGAACTGGGTACTGGATTTTGTTGTATTTCTTTAAATAGTCTTGCACTTCGTTCTGGAATGCAGTTACTTATAATCAATGAAATTCCTTCTAGATTTGCTTGTGAGTTTGTTCAAAAGAGTCTAGACGTCTTTTTTTTTTTTCTAGGGTTAATTTAGTCCCATTCTTAAGGCAATACTTTCTGAGGATTCTGCTCAGATTATAAGAAGTCTTCTTCCTCTGGCTGGTGTGAACACCAACTCTTCCCAGCCTCCTGCTTTCTGCTGGTTTGTTCCCCTGCCTCGGTAGCTCCCCGTTGTACACAGATCAATACTCCGATGAGGACTTGAGGGGCGTGTAATTACATCTGCAAATCTGAGGAACTTTCTTCATGCATGTTCTCATTTCTGGTGCTGCTCTGTGAATTCCGGCTACCTCATCCTCCCAGCCTCAGATTCTGTATTCTCAGCTAAGCCAAACTGCTAGGTTCCCACCACAGGCTCAGGCAGGGCTTCCCATCTGTGTTCCTTCTCTCGGAGGCTCTAGCCTCGCACATCTGTTGTCTACTGTTTGCATGTTGTTGTTTTTTGCATTTTGTGTGATTTTCTAGTTTAAGGTAGAAGGGAAAATCTGATTCCTGCTCCAGAAAAGGAGGTTGCAGTGGCTCCCCGGTCATCACTGGGGGAGAGTTCCAAGATTCCTTGTGGGTGCCCGAAACCTCAAGTAACATGCACACACACACGCGCGCGCACACACACATACACACGCGCGCGCACACACACACGCACACACACATGCACACACACATACACGCGCGCGCACACACACATGCACACACACACATGCACACACACACGCGCGCGCACACACATGCACACGCACACGCGCACACACATACACACGCGCGTGCACACACAGGCGCACACACACGCGCGTGCACACACACACACACACGCGGGCATGCATTGCCTAATAATGGGGATACACTCTGAAGAATGCACCGTGAGGTGATGCTGTCATTGTGCAACCATCACAGAGGACACTTACACAACCTAGGTAGCAATGCGTGTTACATGCCTAGGCTTTGCAGTATAACTGCAGGCAGTTTTAACACCATGACAAATATTTGTCTGTCTAAACATTGAAACAGAGAGGTAGTAAAAATACAGTACAAAAGATAAAAAAATGGTACAGCTGTTATTCCCCCTTACCATGAATGGAGGTAGGGGTGAGTCGCTGAGTGAGTGGCGAGTCAGTGTGAAGGCTAGGACAAAGCACTGGGAACCTGGGATACACTACATTTATTTAAAAATTTATTTCTTCAATAATAAATGAACCTTAGTTTACAGTAAACTTCTAAACTTGTAATAACACTTAGCTTACAACACAAACACATCCAGCTCTCACACAAATATTTTCTTTCCTTATTTCCTTCTATAAGCTTTTTTCTATTTTCAAAATTTTTAATTTTTACGTTGCTGTTTAAACTTCCTTGTTAAAAACAAAGATACAAACACACACATCAGCCTAGGCCTACGCAGGGTTAGGATTGTCAAGGTCGCTGTCTTCCACTTCCACATCCTGTCCCTCTGGAAGCCAGCTCTTCAGGGCCAGTCACACACGTGGGGCTGCCATCTCCTAGGTTACCAATGCCTTCTGGATACCTCCTGAAGGACCTGCCTGAGGCTATTTTGCAGTTAACATTAAAGAAATAATTAGAAGAGGAGGTACACTCTCAAATAATGATAAAATACGTCGTACACATGCCAGCCAGCAACATGGTGGTTTCGTATCATTATCACATATTCTGTACTGTGCGTAACTCTGTGCGCCATAGTTTTATATGACCAGCAGTGCAGTGGGTTTGGGTACAGCAGAATCACCACAGACACGTGGGTAATATGTTATACTGCGACATTAGGACAGCTGTGACATCATTAGGTGATAGGAAGCTTTCAGCTCCAGTATAATTCTATGGCACCACCAGAGTAAATGTGACCCATCATTGACTGAAATGTTGTTGTGTGGCGTGTGACCGTATTGCTTTTTCTTATGTATAATACCTAAGGTAAAGTTTAATTTATAAATTAGGCATAGTCATAGATTAGCAATGATAACTAACAGAACAATTGCCTACTGTGATAAAAGTTATGTGAATGTGGTCTCTCTCAAAGTGTCTTAAGGTCCTGTACTCACCTATTTTCAGACTGCAGTTGACCCCAGGATGTTGAAACGGTGGAGAGCAAAACCTCGGATAAGAGGGGACTACCGTGCCTCCTTCGTGTCTGATAACGTGCTCCGCAGAGTGAGGGGATGTGCTGGGAAACAGTTCAACAAACTATGTCACTGCGCACGTGCTAAGGGCAGGCACCTAAGCGCTCTGAGGAATTAGCGAAGAATCGAGAGTTGTGTTACCCTCTAACCGTGCACTCAAAGAAACAGGAGCAGAATGTGCTTTGTGTCATTAAGGAGAGATGAACAGTATATTATAGGCGGAGGGTCAGGGAATAGGCTGGTAGGAATAATGAGAGCAGAGCGTGATTCTGTTTAATTTCAGTGCCTTGTATCCATAATCATGATAACAATTTATGCATTGTAGAAAATTCTGTTTTGGAATTTCTGGTAAGCTAAATAATGTTCCATGCCCTGATCTCCAGAACTGTGAATGTCAGTTTCTGTGGCATGAGGCACATTGCAGACGTGAATAAGTGAAGGCTCTTGCTATAGGGGGATGGTCCAGGAGGGCCTGGTGTCATCACAAGGTTCTTATAGGAGGTGGCAAGAGCCCTCGGAGACAGACTAGAAGGGGATGTGAAGATGGAAGCGGAGACTGGGTGATGTGCTTTAAAGATGGAAGAGCGGGGCCACGAGCCTAGGAATGCAGGTGCTGCTGGAAGCTGAAAAACGCGAGGAAACCAAGGATTCCCTCAGGAGCTCCAGAAGGAACCAGTCCCAGGACCTTGACTTTGTCTCAGTGAAACTGAATTTGGAGTTCTGACCTTTCGAGCTGTCAGAGAATGAAAATGTGTTGCTTTAAACCACAAAATGTGTGAAATTTATTAAAGCAGAAATAGGAAATGAATACAGAATTTTATATTCAAAATGACGAATTAGAGTGTCTCCTGGGTAACATTTCCATACTATCTAAATGGAAACAAAAGGAAAGAAAATGGGAAAAATCATACTGAGTTGCATATACTGTGAGTTTCTGCACAGGATATATTATTAGGCACATAAAAAGGTAAAGGGGTTACTGGTAAATGTTTTTCATTCTAATCTCTGTGAATCTGAGCACTGTTTAAAATTGAGATACAATTTTCTGATCCTTTAAAATCAATAATCATCATTATCCTAGATAATGACGCAGGGTAGCAATGATAAACATAAGAAATAATAGTTGGCGACCGTTCTGAGTGCCCACCAGGATTTCATTTTATCAACATCACAGCGACGCTGTCTCTGGGTACTGTACTGCTATTTTCCTCGTCTTTCTGGCATAAATAGAAAAGTGAATACTTCTTCTGTGGTCACACAGATGAGATGTATTAGAGCTGCTGTTTGCCCCTCAGCCGCCTGTGTCAAGAGGCCCAAAAGGCAGTCAGAAGTTTGTTTACTGGTGATGCAATTTTTTTATAGTCTCATAGGACAAGCTTTCCGTGAAGATGAATAGTCTCGTAATCTTGGGTAACCCTGCTGGGACCAGGGGTTTTTTTTTCTTCCCTTTCTTCCTCACATAGAAATAGGTGAATCCTTCTTCTGAAATCGTGGGGGACTTTTTTTAAACACTGTGGCTTTGCATCATGAGGTTCTGTTGTTAGGACCAAGTTGACTTATTACTTGAATTGAAAGAAGATTCAAGTCAAATGGAAGGCTGGTTCTATCAGACATTCTACGTAAAATCAGGTGGAGGGAAGACAGAACAAAACCCAATTCTACCGTCTTGTTAGACAACCATACCTATGAGCTTCTCCACCCAAATGGTTAGACAACCATGTAGATGAGTGTTACCCAACAGAAATATAATGTGAACCACGTGTACAAGCAACATATGTAATTGAAAATTTTTAGTGGCCACATTAAAAAAGGAAAAATTAGCTGGCATGGAAGCTCACACCTATAATCCCAACTACTCAGGAGGTTGAGGTGGGAGGCTCGCTGGAGCCCAGGAATCTGAGGCAGCTGTGAGCTATGATCATGCCACTGCACTCCAGCCTGGTGACACAGTGACACCAGGTTTAAAAAAAAAAAAAACATGGAAAAGGTAGTCTTAGCAATTATTTAACTCAGTATAATCAATTGATAAGATATTTTACCTTCTTTATTTGGTCATACACATCTTCGAAATCCAGTGTGTATTTTACACTAACAGCAGATTTGAAGTGACTGACATTTCAAGTGCTCAGCGGCCAGCTCAGTGTGCGAGGAGCCCCCATATGGGACCCTGCAGATATACTGTTTCTATATGTAGCTTAGCGTATATCCCGATATCTGCTGACACCCTAGAATTAAGGAGAGCTGGAAATTCTCTTGCATTTGTGGGCTATCAAGAACGGTTCTGTAGGAAATAATACTGAGATCCCAGTATGCACTTTGCAGTGCCCCGTATCCCACCCAGGGACTGTGTACTTTGGCCATTAGAGGAAAGCGTCTTTTAGATTCTAGTGCCCTGGTTCTGGTGGGTAAAATCAACTCCTCTTACTACCCAGGCAGACATACCTACACATGCAGCTCGGATTCCAGCAACAGATTGTCACCTGGTTCCACCTTGGAGAGAAGTGGAGTGGTGTGTTTTCTAAGATTCCAAGCTTATTTTTATGTTGAGCACGTCACAGCCATTGAACTTGACCACTGCAATGGCAGAAATGGCAGTGTGTGCGCACGTGTGTGCGTGCGTGCGATTCATGCATAACACAAAGTGAAAAATGCTGTTTCTAGCCAGGGTTTTGGAGAGAGCATCTCCGAGCAGCTGTGGATGAAGCAGCACTCCAACACGATAGGGCAGAATGCCCCTCTGACCCGCACCCCTCTGCAGACCGCTTCGCGCTGTGAGCCCGCTTCATTTATTTCCTTTTGAGGTTAAGTCTCATTCCAGTCAGCTTGTTCGTCAAATTTGTGTTAAGAGAATTCTGTTTTTATGCTGAGGAAATAACACATCTTTAAATTTACTTTTACAAGTAGCTTTTGGATTTTTCTTTCACCAGTGTGGCACTGAGCAGTCTCATAGAGCGTCCTGTGGAAGAATATGAGAAAAACAAGATACAGTGTTTGCATTTAATTTTACTATCTATCTAAAGGTGGAAAGGTAAGAATTTTTTTTTAAGAGGGAGTCTTACTCTGTCACCCAGTCTGGAGTGCAGTAGTGTGATCTCGGCTCACTGAAACCTCCCCCACCGGATTCAAGCAATTCTCCTGCCTCAGCCTCCTGAGTAGCTGGGACTCCAGGAGTGCACCACCACGCCTGGCTAATTTTTTGTATTTTTAGTAGATATGGTGTTTCACCATATTGGCCAGGCTGGTCTCAAACTCCTGACTTCATGATCCACCTGCCTCAGCCTCCCAAAGTGCTGGGATTACAGGCATGAGCCACTGTGTCCAGCCAAAAGTCAGGATTTTTAAAAGCAACTCTTGCTGTAGTTGACATAAATGAGATTACAAGTGTTTTTCTAGTTAATCCTGATGCAAAGAACATTTCTGATTAAAGATCCTGAAGATCCCCAGTAAGGGGTGGTGTCACAGGGTCACATGTTTGAGAGCTGCAGCAATGAAAACATTTCACAGCTTATGCCAAAGGGGGTAAATTCTACACAGCACGCAATGGAACACACAGAAGATGTGGACTCAATGGGAGAAATTTAAATATATTAAAAACGGCATTTAAATTCCTGGTGAAGAGATTGTTTATTCAGTGACTCTCTAGATACTTGGGGAAAACAAATATTGATATCTACCTTTATATCAAAATAAATTCTTGCTCGACACAAAACTTTAATTTGATAGGCAAAGAGTCAGACATGGGATGATCGCTCCTAATGTGTTCAGGGAATAATATGTCAATTAATTAGGCTGTGTGGTGGGTTCAGGTTGGCACAGCAGACAGGGCCCATTTCTTTTTTTTTTTTTTTTTAATTTTTTATTGGATTATAGGTTTTGGGGTACATGAGCAGAGCATGCAAGACAGTTGCGTAGGTACACACATGGCAGTGTGCTTTGCTTTTCTTCTCCCCTTCACCCACATTTGGCATTTCTCCCCAGGCTATCCCTCCCCACCACCCCCTCCCACTGGCCCTCCCATTTTCCCCCCAATAGACCCCAGTGTTTAGTACTCCCCTTTCTGTGTCCATGTGTTCTCATTTTTCATCACCCACCTATGAGTGAGAATATGCGGTGTTTCATTTTCTTTTTTTTTTTTTTTTTTTTTTAGACAGGGCCCATTTCTAAAGAATCTTGAGTGCTGGGCGTGAGAGCTGAGACTTGGCAGGGTGTGGCAGTGGGGAGATTCTCATGGACTCGCCCTGGATAGAGCCACCATCTAGGCGGATGCTCCTGCTTTTCACATGCTAGCCCGGTGTATTGCACTCTTCTGTTTGTTGCTTTGTTTGTGTATTTTGAGATGGAGTCTCGCTCTGTTGCCCAGGCTGTAGTGCAGTGGCATGATCTCAGCTCCCTGCAACCTCTGCCTCCCAGGTTCAAGCAATTCTCCTGCCTCAGCCTTCCAAGTAGCTGGGATTACAGGCGTCCGCCCCCACAGCCGGCTAATTTTTGCATTTTTAGTAGAGATGGAGTTTCTCCATGTTGGCCAGGCTGGTCTTGATCTCCTGACCTCAGGTGATCCACCCACCTCAGCTTCCCAAAATGTTGGGATTACAGGCGTGAGCCACTGTGCCCGGCGTATTACATTCTCATATGGTATTATGAAGCTCCTAAGCACACCGTGATTTTAGTCTTTTAGCTCTTCTAGGAGAGCCTTTCATTGGTCTGTGTAACATACCAAGTGGATGGAAACCTGCCTAATGGATGCTATAATAATAAACGCTTGTTGGTGCTGTTTGTAGTTTTCTTTTTTTTATTTCAATTTGGCTAGCAAACAGATCTTCCAAGCATTTATTTTTTTTATTTTTTAGAGAAAAAGAAGGGGAAACAAAGAAAAAGAGGGAAAAAGGAGTATTACTTCGTTCCTAAAATGGGTTTCAATAATGGCCGATCAATATTTTGAATGTTTAAAGTGGTTAATACATATTTTATGTGTTTAAAATGGAGACCTCTATTGTGTTTATTTGTTCGGGCTCTGAGTTCAAGTCCTGGATATCGTTACCAATTTTTTGTCTCGTTGAATCTAAATCTCATTATGTGTCTTATGTATCTGGGTGTTAAGATCTCTTATTGTTACATTAATCCTTTTACCCTTGCATCCTTGTAGCTTTGAAATCTATTTTATTAAGTGTGAGAATTGCAACTTCTGCTTATTTATTTATTTTTGCTCTCCATTCGGTTGGTGAGTTTTTTTCCATCCCCTTGTTTTGAGTCTTTGTATATCTTTAGATATATCGTTAGATTTTGTGGGTAATGTATATTTTGTGTGTTTAAAATGGAGAGCTCTATTGAGTTTATTTGTTCTGGATCTTAGTTCCAGTCCCGGATATCGTTATCAATTTTCTGTCTCGTTGAATCTAAATCTCATTATGGGTCTTATGTATCTGGGTGTTAAGATCTCTTATTATTACATTAATCCTTTTACCCTTGTATCCTTGTAGCCTTGCCTTTCATTGAAGAAAATTCTTCTTTATGTTAATGCTCTTTACTTTTTGGTGTATTTTTAGAAAGGGTCATACTGGTTGTTCCTTTCTATGTATAATGCTTCTTTTAGAAGTTCTTATAAAGCAGGCCTGGTGGTAATAAGTTCTCTGAGTACTTGCTTGTTCCTAAAAGATTTTATTTTTCCTTCAAATGTAAAGCTTAAATTGGCAGGATATGAAATTCTGGGCTGAAAGTTCTGTTGATTAAGTATATTGAATATTGGCCCCCACTCTCTTCTAGCTTGTAGGGTTTCCATTGAGAGATCTGCTGTAAGCCTAATAGGCTTACCTTTATGGGTAACTTGATCTTTCTTTCTGGCTGCCCTTAATATTTTCTCCTTCGTTTCGATCTTGGTGAATCTAATGATTATGTGCCTTGGGGTTGGTCTTCTTGAGGAATATCTTTGTGGTGTTCTCTGTATTGCCTGGGGTTGAATAGTGTCCTGCTTTGATAAATTAGGAAAATTTTCCTGGATAATGTCCTGGAGAGTATTTTCCAGCTTGACTTCATTCTCTCCGTCACATTCAGGTACACCAATCAAGTGTATATTAGGTCTTTTCACATAGTCCCATATTGCTTGGAGACTTTGCTCATTCCTTTTTATCCTTTTTTCTCTATTCTTGTCTTGTCATTTTGTTTCATTAAGTTGGTCTTCGACCTCTGATATCCTTTCTTCTGCTTGATCCATTTGGCTGTTTAAGCATGTACATATTTCAGTAAGTTCCCGTGTTGTATTTTTCAACTCCATAAGTTCATTTGTATTCCTCTCTATATTGTCTATTCTTTTCAACATTTCATCGAACCTTTTTTCCAAGTTCTTAGTTTCTTTACATTGGGTTAGAACAAGTTCCTTTAACTCCCAGAAGTTTCTTATCATCCACCTTTTAAAGCCAACTTCAGATAATGGAACACAGTCCTTTTCCATCAGGGCTTGTTCCGTTACTGATGAGTCCTTTTCCATCAGGGCTTGTTCCGTTACTGATGAGTCCTTTTCCATCAGGGCTTGTTCGGTTGCTGATGAGTCCTTTTCCATCAGGGCTTGTTCCGTTGCTGATGGGTTCTGATTTTGAGTATACTCAGCCTTCTTAGGCTGTTTTTTTCCCTTCATTGTAGATGAACCGCCTTTCTAATTAGGTTTCTGAGTCGACGTCCGACTTATTGATTCCCAGTGCTGGGATCTGAGCAACCCACTGTGGCAGCCTAAATAGCAGCGGTAAGACTGATGGTGCTCTTCTGCCCGGGAATCTCTGGTCTGGCTTCCCTCTTGAGTCCGCCACAAGCGGCTCTGACTTCCAGGAGCTCCAAACTCCGGTCAGTAGGGGAAGCAGTCCCGTTGGCTCTGCATGAAGAGCTGCTGCGCCGAGACGCCGGCAAAACCGCTGCGGCGGCCACAAGAGTCGCGCTGGCGACCCGTGGGGCTCCTCCACTGGGAATCAGCTGATCCGTGAGTGACGAAAATTTGTCTAAAGATGTGGCGTCGTCTCGTTCTCTGAGCTTTCACTGGGAGCTACAATCCCGAGCTGTTAGTGGTTGGCCATCTCAGATCGATCCTCTCTGTTTGTAGTTTTCTAAAGATCAGACATGGTGCTTGAGTTTTCCTCAGTGCTATACCAGTTCCCGAAGAAGAAGTTTCTCCTTTTATTCATCTCTGTATTTACCCTGCTTGTTACAATGCCTGGCACATTCAACAAACATTTATGCTGCATCATGGATGGCTGTGTTGACTCAGGGATACTGACTCTGCCATTCTGGGTGAGGCCTTGAAATTTGCATTTCTGGAGGGTTTCAGGTGCTGCTGATGCACCTGGTCAGGAGGCCGAACTCTGAGAGCCACAGGCCTAGGCAGGCATCGCCTTCTGCCTGGTCCCCTCCTTCCCCTTTCATCTTCCCACACCCCATTGTCCATGTACCTGACAGGGAGATTTACAAAAAAGCAAACTGGATGATACAAACGTCTTTTTCCCTTATGTTTCCTTGATTCAAACTCTCCAGTACCCTCCAATGCAGTCAGAGTGAGATCCAAAGCCCGTAACTCACCTACGAAAGTCCTCTGTGATCCGGCCCCCACCAGCCACCGCTCTCCCACCCTGCTGGCCTGCCCTCCAGGCTGTGCCTGCCGCAGGCTTTTCCCCGGTTTCCGCCTTGCCCACTCTGCCTGTGATGTCCTTCCCCTGCCATTCCCATGGCTGGCTTCTTCTTATCACCCAGGGCTCAGCTCAAATGCTGCCTCTGAGCCTCCCCAGCCCCAGAAGTGACTCTGTCTCATGAGCTGAATTTTATTATCTTTTTGGCATGTCGTTGCTTGGTTACCTGCATCTCCCTCACAGGACAGGCTGGGTACGGTGGCTCACGCCTGTAATCCCGGCACTTTGGGAGGCCGAGGTGGGCAGATCACGAGGTCAAGAGATCGAGACCATCCTAGCCAACATGGTGAAACCCCATCTCTACTAAAATATAAAAATTAGCTGGGCATGGTGGCGCTCACCTGTAATCCCAGCTACTCAGGAGGCTGAGGCAGGAGAATTGCTTGAATCCAGGAGGCGGAGGTTGCAGTGAGCCAAGACTGAGCAAGACTCTGTCTCAAAAAAAAAAAAAAAAAAACTAACTACAGAGACACAGTCTCTCTGTGATGGGCCACTGTGTCTGCAGCACCTGCCAGGAGGCCTGGAGTGTTGTAGCCTTAAGAAAATATCAGTGGAATGAAGAAACCAATACACTATTGAAAGTAAAAAAATATCCAGGAAAAGAGACAAGCAAACGTATATGTATTTTGAGGGAGACCAACCTTCCCGGGCTGCCTGGGACTGAGAGGAGTTCCAGGCTTTGAGGATTTCAGTGCTGAAACCGGACGGTCCTGGGCAATAGAGACGAGGTAGGCATCCTGGCTCCCACCTGTGTGCACTGGAGACCTTCCAGCACTCTTGTGCTGAGTATTCATTCCTTGTTCTCTTTGTCATATCCTAGCACTGCCTTATTTAGTTCCTTCAGCTTCGTTAACTTCAAAGACAACTAAGCATTCTATAGCCAGGAAGCACCGTCACAGGTCATCCTGATACCGCTTTCAGGTAAGACCAAGGATTCAGTCTACATTTCCCTAGTTATCTCCTACTATTTGCTATTTTTTTTTTTTTTTTTTTAAAAGCTTAGGTTGAAATTTAAACCCTTGTGCTCTAGCTTCAGGACAATTCAGGTTAGACTTTCACAAGGTAAGATCAAAATAAGCAACATGATTCTAAGGAAGAGAAAAATCCAGTGGGCATTGAATGTCAGAAAAAGATCTGGGAGCAAAGTGGACCAGTAGCCAGTTTAGTAGGCTCCACCCAATCCAAAACACAATGAGCGAATAAATTGTGTAGCGATACTCATAACTGTGATGGGGAAAGGTAACACGTTCCCATCCGGGTAATGGTACCTCCACTGTCCAGTAAGTGATCATTGATTTTGACAAGATGCTCTTTCCCGCCCTCCTGTTCCAAGTGCCGTCACTCCCCCGTCAACTGCCAGCACTGTCGTCACTGAGTTCCTGTCTTTTTCCTTTTAGACTGGAAGCAGAGTATAGGATTATGGGCTTAGTCCAGGGCCTGACAAAAAGGAGACTTTGGATTGGTAAATAAATAACTAGATAAGTAAATAACAACGTACATACCGTAAAACACAATAGCAGTTCTAAGTTTGTCCCTGCACTTTATTAAAGATGAATAGTGTGCTTTATTCAGTTAAAAACGTGCAGAGCCATTTTTCTATGATAATCCTAATAATAAAAATATAGCCTGACACTTCCTATGAAACAAATGTAGTGCCAGGTCCTTATGCACATGAACTCATTTCAAACAGGTGCATTGTGACTCTGTTTTACAGACGAGAAGACAGCATACCAAGGGTGAGTACTATATCCAAAGTTGCCTCGCAGGGATTGTAGCCTCTGTCAGCCGGATTCCATAGCTAGATCCCAGATTTGTATTGTTTATGTAAAATAGCAGAAGTGAGACCAATGACCTGGGGTTCTCTCTTCCAGAAATCTTGAATTAAAAATATCTTCATTGGGCACGGGGGCTCACGCCTGTAATCCCAACACTTTGAGAGGCTGTGGTGGGTGGATCATCTGAGTTCGAGGCCAGCCTGGCCAACATGGTGAAACCCTGTCTCTGCTAAAAAGACAAAAATTGGAGCACACCTGTAGCCCCAGCTACTTGGGACACTGAGGCAGGAGGAATGTATGAACCCCAGAGGCAGAGGTTGCAGTGAGCCAAGATCGTGCCATTGCACTTCAGCCTGGGCAACAGAATTAGAATCTGTCTCAGAAAAAAATAAAATAATAATATATATATAAAATATATATATATTTTCTGTGCTTTAGTTCAAAGCAGTTCTTGCAGTGTTCAAATGCTCTGTGTTAGTGTCAAGTGGCAATTCCTCACACATTTTGAGTAATTTTATCATGTTTGAAATAAATACAGTGAACACTCTGTTTTGATGTAAACAAGCACTCAGGTCCCATTAGAGAGTACACTGAATTTTGCATGAGATGTCCGTCACATGCCTTATCTCCACTTCGGCTTGTGGAATCATTAAAACATCATATATGTATATATAACATGTATATATAATGTTTTAGTGATTCCACAAGCCAAATACACACACACACACACACACACACACACATATATTTGCAAGGATGAATTAAGGGAAGTGCTTTTAAAAGATCACTCTCAATAAACCAAGGCATTTTAAAACAATTCAATCAATTTCAGAGAGGTCTAGCATAGCAAATACAAAACTGACAATTAATGCCCACTGTTCAAATATCCTGAAATGATCAGAGGCCCCCAAGAGGGAGATATCTGAAGTGGCCACATTTGGTATCAGGTGTTTGAGTAAAGGGTGTTATTTGTCTTGGGATATAATTGGGGTCACCTACGCAGTAAAGAGGTTTAAACTTTATGCCTGAGCTATTAGTACGGGGCCAGCCCCAGACACCTTCATCAAACTCTGGCTCCGTTACCATCACTAACAATCGTTCTCTCACTGGGTGTTACCAATAAGATTATAACTGTTGTCAGAATCTGTTAGCCAAAGATTACTGACTCCGCATTTGAAGTTCAGCAGCTGTCGGGTTTGTGTCATGCGGCAAGAGTCTTCTTGATACAATGCATGTGTCCCGTGTGTGAAAGGCAGTTAAAGTACTATTAACTGTATGTATGTTGAATTGTGTACAGACACACTATTTTATGGATTTCTAAGGAGTTGTTTGCCATATTTGGAGGTACGGATCACTTTATCAACGGAAATTGTGTGAATTGCTCCCTTCCTCTTTTAAAAACGTGCACTGAAAAGGAAGGAACTAGATAATTTAAAGTCCAGAGTCATAAATAACATTATTGCATTAAAATGTATTGCTTTTCTGTCCATGAATACATGACATATACAAATTATATAAATATGGGAACTAATGATTGGAGATTTGAAACTGAAAAATTATAAAATCTGAGAGTACGCTTCCTTTTTTGACATTTCACCATTTTTAGAACTCTAGCATAATACGGAAATCCTGAATGGATTTATTACATATCAGTTTAGTGTATGAAATATAATTGAAATAATATAGTCTCTTATTGTATGGACCATTAAAAAATTTGCTTAAAATCTTATGGTTCATGCATTCCTGTTATGAAAAACTCTCTTTCTGGCTAAGATTATTTTAATGGCTCTCACTTTAAATGAAATCTTCACCATCTGTTCTTCCTTTTATCCTAAATACTAGAAGAAATTAATTTAAATGCACCATAAAAGAGCTATTTTATGTTTTTAAAATTCCTGTGTCTTGACTCTCAATCTAAATGTACGTTGGCGATCTCCAAAAACATCTGGAGTAAAACAGCTGCCCTTTGACATCTGACTTGGAATATTTCCCAGGGAAGACAAGAAACCATTCTAAAATGGATGTCATTACAGACTCAAATATATGTCCCCTCTTCCCTTGCCCTGACTGCAGTGTACCATTGCTACTCCTCTAATAAAGGACCAGCAGTTCTTGTACAGTGCTGCCGAGGTTTTATAAGTAAACTGAGTTTTTATACTCAGGTAACGTTTTCTTTTCCTCAGTATTTTATAAAATATTAGCACTTAAACATTTTATTGATTGATTGTATTTTCCCTTTGGCCAAACCTCAGGAAACACCGTTTCTCAAGTGTAGGGAATAGTGTTGGCAGAGGCTGATTTCAGCCATGTTCACAGGAATGTTTCAAATACCTGAGAAGTCACAAGAAAAGGGACCCAGGAACGCGTGCAGCCTCACATCTTGGTACTTGGCAGCGTCAGGAAGCAGTCAGCAGTGGCTCATTGTGAAACCGAAAAGACGTTTTCGAGGAGGGGACAGCTAGAACTCAGCCGGTGCCACCATTCCTGCCAAGTGTACTTTCTGTTATTTTTTCTTCTTTTCTGTGCACGTAATCACAACCTAAGAGAGGCTGCAGATGACATAAAATACGATGTCATTACCCTTGCACAAACGACACTGTGGCAAATTTGGCTCTCCATGACAGCTTTGGGAAGATTAGCAGTCTGTTCTTGATGCTGTGGTGACGCCGAGAATTCCAGCGTCGGTGTTGGGACACATCACGGGACAAAGTGTTCTCTGACCCAGTGAGGACACCTCACATCCCTGCCACACCGGGAGCTGCTCCCTCGGAGGACTTACTCTGCGGCACTCGCAGCGCCTGCACCCTCTTTACTTCAGCAGCTCCAGTGGTAGGGTGGCATTTCTCTGGGGCTGGCGTCTTGGAGCCTGCACCCTCTTTACTTCAGCAGCTCCAGTGGTAGGATGGCATTTCTCTGGGGCTGGCGTCTGGGAGCCTGCACCCTCTTTACTTCAGCAGCTCCAGTGGTAGGGTGGCATTTCTCTGGGGCTGGCTTCTGGGAGCCTGCACCCTCTTTACTTCAGCAGCTCCAGTGGTAGGGTGGCATTTCTCTGGGGCTGGCGTCTGGGAGCCTGCACCCTCTTTACTTCAGCAGCTCCAGTGGTAGGATGGCATTTCTCTGGGGCTTCTGGGAGCCTGCACCCTCTTTACTTCAGCAGCTCCAGTGGTAGGGTGGCATTTCTCTGGCGCTTCTGGGAGGCAGAACTTCGCTTCCATTGTTTCCTGTGGAATTCCAAAGATCTCAGTGACATCACAGAAGTGAATCGCTGTGACTGTGGGTGTACTTGTGCCACCACCTAGTCTTACAGTTTGCTTTTCTGTCTATGATCTCCCTGGAAATAGGGTGGCCTGAGAAAAACTGAGTGCTGCTAACAGCAGGAGGGTGAATGCCAATCACAATGGCAGGAGTTTGGAAGAGAAGAGACAGGGCGGAGTAACGATGTTCACTGCAGGTCACTGAACCATTGGAAGCAAAAGAATGGCTTGATATGACATACGCAGAAGGAGAGAACTTCAGTTTTTAAAAGACATAGTAAATCTCTAACCAATATTTAAAAATGGACAACAGGGAAACTGACGATTTATTTAACAAGTAGAACAAATACCAGGATCAAAGAAAACATCTTTCAGTAAATACAGAAAGGGCCGTGAGGACAGAAAGAACTAGAGAAAAAGGGCAGAGTTTCCGTAGAACAGTAAAAAGATACAAAGTGGTGAGAAAGGGACAGGAGCCATTGGTGAGGAAAGAGCCTGGGAGGCCATTCTAAGCCAATATTGGTGGATTTTTTTTTTTTTTTTTTAGTATTATAACCAGTTGTTCAGCTGGGCATGGGCTTCTAACCGTCATCACTTCTTAAGCAAAACGTTTTGCCTTCTGGGTAAAGCTTCCTTACAGATGCCGGGCTGCTTCAAAACCTAAACATTTTCAGAGTAGACATTAAAAATTCAAATGTCCAGTTCGTATTGGTCCCTGTGGCTTCCATAGAGGCCTTTCTGCTCTTGGATCTTCAATAAAGAGATTTACATAGTATTCCTGCTCCCCCCCGCCCCGCCCCCAACTGTGCTCTGGAGTTTCCAGAATAATTGCCTATGAGGTCCCTTTGTAAAAACTCTGTGGAAAAGAGTGGTGTGCCGAACTACATTCACGCTGCTAAATCACAGAAGGTCGTGAAGCTAGAGACAGGCTGTCTTCCACATTTTATTTCTCTGGCCCCATCTTAGGGAAGAATGCTGCTGCTTCTCCTCAAACGTCTTCTCCTTCCAGTTCCTGGGTTTCTAATGCTCCCGTCGTGGCCATCTTGTGAAACAAGCAAAGGTCTGGGCTTGGAACCTCACCCTTCTTTTGTGTCTTTGGGAAATTAACTTTCTTCCTATAAAATGAGAATAATAAAAGCAATTTCAAATGTCTTCAGAGGCCGGGTAGAAAATGTAAATGTAAATTGGTTAAAAAAATAAAAAAAACAAACACGTCCAGCTGCTAGAAACACAATCACCGTTTAGTCTCAGGGAACTGTGGCTTAAACACAGGTGCATGCCCTACACATACACCAGGAAAAAAAAAGATGATGTTTGCTGTTCTCTACTTAAGAACTGGAAATCTGACATTTTGCCGTTATACCAAGGTCTCAAAGCCAGGTCTTCCGATTTGTGCTGTGATGTAAGTACATTCAGCTCTGACTTCTTTACCTAGGAGAGAGATTTAGATGAATTCATTTTCATGTTAGAAAAGCAGTTGTTCACAGAGGCAGTCAGTTAAGCACAGAGGTACAATCTTTGTGTACTGACTTTTATTGTCTTGAGATAGTTGAAAAATCCTGGTATTTCAACATTATCATGTTTGAATGTTAGTGTTTCACTGAAGTTTGACAATGTCCATTTCTACTTTTTGATTCACAGTTTCAGTATTATTTCAGAAAGGAAAAACTCACTTACTGGTTCAATAATTCTAGTTACGAACTTGTTAAATTCACAGTGATAGGGGTATAGGAAATAATACGTAACAGCTTTATTTCTTGTTGTTTTAGTCTTAAGGCTGGAAAGTTTTCAGTTCTGCCCGATAATAACTTTCTGGCAAACTGTGTCTCCCTCTAGTGATACAAATCGTTAACTCTCTGAAAAACTACAGTAAAGGTTGGAGCCACTGAAAATGTGCACTGCGGTCCGGACAGAAGCATAGTATTAAAAGAATAAAGTTAACACGTTGATACCTGGAGTTTACTTCACTGCTTTGGCGAGGGATTTGGAGGCTTATTTTTTCATATGGTTTTCAGGTAGGCATTTATTCTATATGATGATGTCCACTTTAGGCAGGTTTTTATAAATCACAGCTCTCCTAATATGTCATTTTAGGAATAAACAGGTAATTTACATATTAATTGCAATAGTGAAAATCGGGAAATCCTGCAGCTCCCTAGACTTCAAAGGATAGAAACACAAGCTCAATTTACCCCTGGATCATTAGCGTGTGTCGTCATTACAGAGGTAAATCCCATTCATTCCTTTATTCATTCCACAACCCCTAAAACTCCCCTGAGCATCCCTCACTACAAGCTAGGTGCTGAGGAGATTTGGATGAATAAGCCAGTCATTGTTTGTAATGGATAGCCACAACAGAATTGTCTCAGGAAGCACTTCAGAAATCTTCATATACTGCTTTAGCATTCAATTATTTTCGTCTACAGTGTTTGTTTTGGGGACCTGGGACGTCTTCCCAAGCTCCTGAGTAAAGCACGTCTGCACAGAGGAGAACTGCTAGGGCCGGAGAGACCCCTCCCTGCAGGTGTGCAGGCTCAGTGTGCTTCTAAATCAACCAGGTTGCAGACAGCCTGGGTCTGCTGCCTTCAAAATGAAAGAAGACTTTCTGTTTGTTTTTGAGATCGAGTCTTGCCCTGTCACCCAGGCTGGAGTGCATGACGTGATCTTGGGTCACTGTAACCTCCACCTCCCAGGCTCAAGAGACCCTCCAACCTCAGCCTGCCGAGTAGCTGGGACTACGGGCATGGCGCCACCACAGTCACCTAATTTTTGTATCTTTTGTAGAGGCAAAGTCTCAGCATGTTTCCTGGGCTGGTCTTGAACTTCTGGCCTCAAGCCATCTGTCTGCCTCAGCCTTCCAGAGTGCTGGGATTACAGGCGTGAGCCACCACTCCCGGCCAAGAAGGTGGTTTTGATAGTAAAACAGTACCCCAAGTATTGACGACTGGCCTTCGCGGCTGGGTGGGCCTGTGGGGAGAGCGTGGTTAGGAGGGAGGAGTGGAAGACCTCAAGAGCCAAGTCTAGGAAGATGCCGCATGTCGCCAGCTCTACCCAGATAAGCCTCGAAAAGCTGAACCCGCACAGGCACCCTCAGAGGACTCACTTGCAGTGGGTCCTACATGTAAACAGACTCGGGGGTCTAAGGAACTCTGAGAACAGAACTAGCACTTGGGAGTTGGGTGGGATCTGGGTGTGGGTGGGGGAGAAGGGAAGCCCACTGCAGAGACACCCTCTGGGATGCTCAGCTGCTCCGACCCTCTCCCTGTTCAGAGGCTTCCTGCCGCGTAGCGACTTTTGGAAAGAATTAGACGCATCCAAGAAGCATCATGTTTGTTCTCTTCAGAGGCTGGCTTAGACTCCTCCAGAGAAACAGAACCAACAGGGTGTATCTCTGTATCTCTGTACGCATCCTCTATCATTCATCTGTCTCTCTAGATTTATTTTAAGCATTGGCTGATGGGATTGCGATGGTTGGCAAGGCTGATATCTGTGGGGCAGGCTGGCAGGCTGGAGACCCAGGGAAGAGTTGATATTGGGCAGAATTCCCTCTGTGTATGTCTGTCTGTGTCCAAATTTTCTCATCTTGTAAGGACACCAGTCACATTAGATTAGGGCTCAGCCTCGTGACCTCAGGCTTTCTTAACCGCCTCCCTAAAGACCCTATCTCCAAATATGGACCCTGAGATACTAGGGGTAGGCCTTCAACTCATGAATTTTCGGGGAACACGATTTACCCCAGGCGTATTTTGTGTTTAAGGAATGATGTACAAGCAAACCGACTCCTCATATCAGTTTTAGGGTGGCTGAAGGCCTACACCTGGACTGGACCTATCGCTGCACGGTTTTAGCTACTCTAATAACTGATTAGTAGCCAGCTGCTATCCTCAATCCCAAGTTTGCAGATATGGAAACTGCATTGCCCAGTGGTATAAAATCAGGAGGTGGTGGCCCTGCGTGCTGGGCCTCCGCAGCTTAGCTACAGAGGGCACTTCCTGTTTTATTTTATTTTATTTTTTGAGATGGAATCTCTCTCCGTGGCTCAGGCTGGAGTGCAGCGGTGCGATTACAGGTGTGAGCCACCATGCCTGGCCAAGGCACTTGCACCAGTAGACTATGCCTGGAATTGTTGAGCACCCCCCCTAAAGTGACGCTCCTCAACTTACGGTAGGAATCCTAGGGTCCTAGTTAAAATGCAGAGTTGGGCCAGGCACAGTGGCTCACGCCTATAGTCCCAGGACTTTGGGAGGCCTAGGTGGGTAGATCACAAGGTCAGGAGTTCAAGACCAGCCTGACCAATACGGTGAAACCCTGTCTCTACAAAAATACAAAAATTAGTCAGGTGTGGTGGCCGGCACCTGTAATTCCAGCTACTCGGGAGGCTGAGGCAGGAGAATCACTTGAACCCAGGAGGTGGAGTGGAGGTTGCAGTGAGCCGAGATCACATCACTGCACTCCAGCCTGGGCGACAGAGTGAGACTCTGTCTCAAAAAAAAAAAAAGTAGAGTTCTGGGTATGGCACCAGACTGACTGAATCAAAACCTACTATGAGTGGGAAGTGATGGGAGTGTTCTGTATCTTTAACAGAAACTCTCCAGGGACGTTTACAGCCACAAAACCTGTAGGATTGCTAGAATTATCCTGTGAGGTTCTAACTTGGCTTGGCTTGCTGTCCCTGATTCCAGCGTTTCATGGCCTTCACTATCTTGTGCTGGGAGGGTTTGTTTTGTGGTTTATTCATTTATTTAGCCAATTTTCACCAAGTAATGTTGCTAGGTTCCAGGGCTTTTCAAGGGTACATCAGATGTAAAACTTCTCTTCAAAGGTCTTTGAAGACCATGTGACATTATACTGATATCATTAGGTGTTAAAATGTTCTTTCAAATGAGAAATATCTACCTTATTCAACTTTACATGCTTTATTTTTATAACTGTGTATGCTTCTTTTATTTTCTATTCGGGAATGGCCCCATAAATCATGTGGTTTAGTTAACTCTGTTAATTTTCTGGTAGAAAGGTGAATAACATGCATTATCATCTGTAAATAATCAGAACTGTGTTTTTGAGAAAAGAATGGCAAAAACCATATGCCAGCTGCTGCCATTATTCCAGGGTTTCTATTGCTCTTGGGTGTTTATGAACATGTTGAAGTGTGCAGGTGCATGAATGCTTATCATCCACATACAAATGCTAAACCTCTCATTAAAACAGTTCTTTAAAAAACACATCATTCATCTTATGATCAGCCAAAATAA